GCCTCCCAGAGTGCTAGGATTACAGGCGTGAGCCACCACGCCCGGCCGCTTTGTCACTATTGTACTGTATTGTGAGGATGTAAGTCTATAGGAGGGGAACCTAATTTAGTCTTTTGGAGATCAAGAAAGTACTTTCAAAGAAAATGACACTTGAACTAAGAACAAAAGGATCAATGGGAATAAAGTGGGTGGGAAGGAATGAGTGGAGAGGTTTAGGAGTGTTCTCTTGGAAAATTGAGACTATTTTAGTATTGGAAGAATGCAGGGTATGAGGAAAGGAGGCACAGACAAGGGATAAGGCTGCAAAGTAATGAAAGATCAGGGCAGGCTTTCTAAAACGTAATAAAGAATCTGAACTTTATCATGAGGGCAATAGGTAGTCATTGAAGATTCTATAATAGCTTTATTGAGATGCAATTCACATCCCATACAATTTACCTAAAGTGTACAATTTACTGGTTTTTAATATAGTCACAGAGTTGTACAACCATCGCCACAATCAATTTTAGAACATTTTTATCAAACAAGAAGAAACCCCACACCCATTAACACTCACTTCCTATTCCCTTTCCCCCCACCCACTGGCAACTACTAATACATTTTCTTTGTCTGTGGATTTGTCTATTCTGGACATTTCACATTAATGGAATCATATAATATGTGGCCTTTTGTATCTAGCTTCTTTCACCTAGTATAATGCTTCCAAATTCACCCATGTGGTGGCAGGTATCAGTACTTTCTTTCTTTTTATTGCATAATAATATTCAATTGTATGGATATACCACATTTATTTACCCATTCATCAGTTGATAAGACATTTGGCTTATTTCCATTTTTTGGCTACTACGAATAGTGCTGCTATAAACATTCATATACACATTTCTATGTGGACTTTGAAGGGTTTAAATAGAGCAATTTTTTATACAATAAACATCTGTTGAATACCTATGTACTTGCTGCATTCTAGGCACTGGAGATTCAGTAGCAAAAGACAATTATCAGCAACCAGGTTATATAGCAGTACTGTCTTTCACATTCTCTGATGGTCTTATGACTGCATTATCACTTTAAGTATTAGCTGTTCTGAAAAATCTGATTAAATACTATGTTAACTTAAGATGTGATGTTAGAAGGTGTACTTGTACCGTGTTTATAGCATGATAGTTCTTGTTACCTTAATTTTAATTAGAAAACATTTTTGGAAAAGTGATTTCTACTAATAATTATATGAAGATGACAGTTCACATTTTATTTTTTCAAAAATTTTTTGTTAACAGTTCTACAACGGGCCAATTTTATAATCGGAAAGTTACTGCAAAAGAATATCACAATTTATTTTCAAGCAAAACAAACTGTAGTTCAAAAAAGTTCTAGAAAAAAACAAGTGCCTACCTCATTTCTATATGGTTTTACATATACTGTCCACTGATGGGTGTGACCGTCTTCTTCTCTTTTCTTTCCAAAATATCGAGCAACATTACCATAAACCATTGGTTTAACGATAGTAACCCCCTAAAAGAAAAATAATTTAAAAACCAATAAACATTTTACCATTACCTAAATAAACAAAATGAGAGCTCTGAAAACTTGTTTCAAGGAATGGCAGTCTAACAATCTAGAGTTTGGTTATGACATGGATTTCTCTCAAATCAATTTCATATTAACAGAAATAACTGAACACCACATTAACTGCAATGTTCCCACTTTAAAAATGGTTTTACTTAAATCACCATGTAAAGCACTTTGAAAGTTTTGTTAAAAGAAATGCAAAAAGGAGGATTTTGGTACTTTGACACAGGAGTCTGCCAACCTCCTTATTTACTGGCAAATTAATAAACTCCTTTACCTTTCTAAGAAAGAAAGAAAAGAAAGAAAGGCAAGAAGAAAAGAGAGAAAAGAATGAAAGAAAGAAACAGGGAAAAAAAAAAAGAAATGCAAAAAGCCCTTAACTTACAAATCTTAAAACTAGGTGTTGGAATAAAAATTGTCAATTTTGACTGGCATCATCTGATGGTAACATCCTTACTAACCAGCCTATGATAATGTTTCCCAAAGCATAGTACAAAAATAAAAGGCAGTTTGTGAGAGGTAGAATAGGAATAAACATTTTTCATTTTATTACTTATGTATTTAATTAGTATTAGAAATTCACTGTAACTGTAACTAGAAATTCAAACCCACAATTTCAAAAATATTAATGTTTAGGAGGGGGCTCTTAAAAATTGAATTGATTTAAATACAAATGTTACAGTAAATATAACAGCTGGATTCAGATATGGCAAAAATGGTAAAGTGGCACTTGGATGACCAAAGCTTGGTAAACACTGGCCAGTGGCATGTTTGCTCCATTTGTCCTCGCTTCTGAGATGTACATACATGTTTCTCAGGACATCTCATAAGAGTAAAGGCAGGGAGTGTTGACAGATTATGATGGACAGGAAAGACTGAAATCTGAAACTAACTGTTCAATAGTAGGAATGTATCTGAAGGACAAAGAACAAGAATACCACATGTGAAAAGTGCTGTGCCAATGTAATCGACCATAATTAATAAGAAATGACAAAAAGTAACGAACAGAAAAACTTTTACTTGTGGCTGGATAAGTAACAACTAAATCCAATACCTATAAATCCAAGGTTAGTTAGTTCAGAAGAAGGGCAAGCAGTTTATATGAGAACTTAATTATGATTAAGTAAGTGATAATAATGAGGCTTTGTAGGAACCATAGATTGGGCTTCTGGTTCAAAGCCACACTGAATGACCGACCACAAAGGTGTTAACATGGTGAGCGCATAAAAGATGTCATAGCTGCTACTGTGTTCCTAGGAATTTGCAAAGCTCGTCAATGATGAAAAAGGGGATCGCTTTTCAAGATGTTCCACCTGGATGAAATGTATCTAAATTGCAAAAAGATGCCTAAGAATCAGCAAGGAGAAATCAATCCCCAATTTTGAAGCTTTACTTTACTATTTTTGGTGGAAAAGCATTTGAGGACCACAGGCTTAACTTCTTCAAGTCACTAGGGGCTGAAACTTGCAAACTTTTAGAACTCAATATGATTACAAGCAAAGAAAGTTCTGTAATTTCTTTCCTAAAATCTAACGTTTGTCCTGAAGTAGTTTCCTATCAGTCCAAAACCTTGCCCCAAATCTTGGGCAAAATGTATGTTTACAAAGCTTCTGGTACTATGACCTTTTACTTGGCATCTCTTTCTCTTCCATTAAATTTCAGTAGGTTCTGAAATTTTCAAAGAATTCCCACTTTACATGTGATATGAAAAGTCTCTGTATAATAGCTGTATACACACTATAATTAACATTATGTAAAAATAACATGACATAAATAAGGACTAAAAAATTCGCAGATTAACAATTTCGGTGCAGAAGTGGATGACTTCTTTTTAATAAAAAAATTCCTTCCTGCTACAAATAAAAATCAGAAGGGGTAAAAATAGGTGTTATATCAGGAACTAGTGGGTCTGCCTTAAAAATTAACGTGCCAAGCGATGTAGGAAAATGGGAGAGAAGTGTCACAATGTCAAACATTAATGTTAGGCTCTATAACTCCCATAAAAAACAGAAGCTGATTTTTATTGAATGTTCCCTATGTGCCAGGTACGGTGTTATGTTCTCTGCATGCCTTGGCTGTTGCTTTGGGGCTTTGTGAACACCATGAACTCGAGCAAATTTTCTCAACTTTTCTACGACTCGGTGCCTCAGTTATCGCGCTTGTAAATACTGCGGGGAAGCGCTCATCGACCGTTTGTTACTGTTATTACTGGCCTCACAACCAGATGGGTGGCATCCCTGGGTTAACCGATGACCTCGGTTGCCAGTTAATGTGCATCATGCCAAGATTTCCTCGCCCTCAGAGTGCATGTTTCCTCGGCAGACATGTAGGTCTCCCCTCGCCACCACTGCTGTATGGTTTGTCTTTCGGCGGGGATGGGACGGTGGCAGTAACGCGGCGCAGTTGAAGCCCAATGAACACTGACTTTTCGCTCAATGGCTTTCACTCGCTCCCCGCCATGAAACCACGGTTCAAAACCGAGGAGAAATGGCGCCAAAGGAAGCCAAACGGGCCCTCCCCACGCCGCACAGGGAGGAGCCGGGCTGGGAGAGCCGCCCAAGAAGGGAGCACGGGCCGGGCACTGACCTTCACTCTCCCGCCGGAGTCAGGCCCAAATTCGGCCATTCTCTTGAACATATTGTCCCACGGAAGAAGCCGCCACCGCCGCCAGGGAAAGAGACCGGGGCCGGCGCGGTCGCCGCTGCCTTCAGAGGCCCCGCTCCTCCCGCGCGAGCCCGGGCGGAGGGTTTCTGGCCCAACGAGGGCGAGTCACCGGGGCTCGCGGCGTTCCGGAAGGCCATTCAGCCCGGCGCCAGTGGAGAACGCTGCGGAAGGAGGGGCGACGGCGACGCCCACGCCGTGCGCAGGCGCGACCGGCTGGCGGGGGTGGGGGCTCACACTCACACTGCGCACACTGCGCACGCGCCTGGCCGCTGCCGCTCGGTCAGAGGACCGGTGTAGTAGGAGTTCTGGAGAGACCAAAGAAGTTGGAGGAAAGGAAATGATCAGTAAGTGATTTCAGAAAGCTTTCTAGAATTTAAGGATATGATTTCCACACTGAAAGAGCCTACGAGGAACCCAGCACAAATATGAATACATCCACGTCAAGGCGTGTCATTGTGAATTTTCAGAACATCGGCGATAAAGAGAAGACTCCACACACTTCCAGGTTTTAAAGACTCTGGAATAAGAATGGCTTCAGGTTGCTCAATTGCAGTATTGGAATCTAGATAGCAATAAGGTACTACCTTCAAAATTCTCGAGGAAAACTACTTCCAATTTTCTTCAGTACTCAGCCAACTATCAACCAAGTTTGTGAATAAAGACAATTTCAGACATGCTAATTCTCAAAAAAAGAAGTACCTGTCATGCTCCCTTTTCTCAGGATGTCCAGGAAGATTCTGCAGAGGTGATCCACCAAAATGAGGGAATAAGCCAAGAAGGAGGAAATTATGAAATATAGGAACACAATAAATATCAAACATGGAAAATAATAGAATCCCAAGATGATGCTAAAAAGAAGACAGCTATGACAGCTATGTACAGGCATAGACAGTAACCCCTCCAAATTGGATTCAGTCAGAAATCTTTGAGAGATACCCCTTCAGAAGGATGGAATTGACAAAATTCCAGCTGCTATTGAAGCCTTCAGAGGAGAGTTAATTAATTAGTAGAGGTAGATGTTGGGAGCTGAACTAATGACAGATACACAGAAAACTGAGCAGATTTAAGAATCATATAGCTATTAACTCTAGGGAAAACAAAATCTTGTATAAGAAAAGAAAGTAATTGTATTTATTGCAACATAAACACTGTGTATTCATCTAACAAAAAAATATAATTACATTTGGAAGGATGGGCTTTGGAGAAGGGTACTATGTGTGATGGGGATGGGGAGGAGGAACTAGAGTTTAATCTTTAATTTCCATAGTGGGAAATCAATATCCTTAAATGGTACAATCAAGAAGGAGCAATGTAAGCCTAATATTTAAAAGCATGGGGGTAAATATAAAAATATTAAGCTAAAGGTAGAAAGTCACTACTGATTGTAATTTTTAGTATTTCCATTTAGCAATTTTTTTTTTTTAAGAGACAGGGTCTCACTCTATTGCCCAGGCTGGACTACAGTGGTACAATCATAGCTCACTGCAGCCTCCAACTCCTGGGCTCAATCGAGCCTCCTGCCTCACCCTCCTGATTAGCTGGAAGTACTATGCCTCCCTAATCTTTAAATTTTTTTAGATACGAGGTCTCTCTATGTTGCCCAGGCTGGTCTTGAACCCTTGGCCTCAAGTGATCCTCCCACCTCACCCTCCCAAAGTGCTGGGATTACAGGTGTGAGCCATTGTGCCTGGCCCCATTTAGCAACTTTTGAGAAAATACATTTAAAATGATTTCTCTAAATGGAAGTGCAAGAAATGTGCTCAGGGCTTAGTTATAATTAGTGCCACATGAAGAGCTCATTTGTCATACGGATGTCATTATGCATTTCAAACAACATAGGAATTGAGTTTCTTTTGAAAATGATCAAACATTGATTATTATTTGGTTCCCAGAATAAGAGTAGAAGTTTGGTTTGGGAGCTTAATTATATTTCCAAAAATTGATGTAGTTATCCTAGCTTCTCCGGAGGATGGGACAGGAGGATTGCTTGAGCCCAGGAGTTTAATGCTGCAGTGAGCTATGATCATGCCACTGCATTCCAGCCTGGGTGACAGAGCAAGACCCCATCTCTAAAACATATGAAAATAAAAAACCACTGAAACAAAACCTCCAAGAAACATTGCTTTCCCTCTGCAATCGACTTTTGCTAATCTCTGGCAGTTTCTTCAGTCAGCCTGTGTCATTGGGCTCTCCTGGAACTTCTTGGACGTGTTCCATCTCTGCTTCTCAGCTATCACTCTTCAAGTCTCTCTTCCCTACCTTGACCCATTCTTTGTACACCTCAGGGTATCCTGCTATGAATAAACTCATATTCTTTCTGAGTTTATTCACATTAGAATGGTCCAAGGATTTTGAAGCCTAAGGCTGTACCTGTGTAGCGGCCGTCTGCTGCCCTCCCATGGGTAGTCTTTGTGCTACATTTACATGGGCAAGACATGGCTCGGAATCCCATGAGCTGCTGTACTGGAATCACGTGGCCTTGAAGAGTTAAGAAAAATCTTAGAACGTTCAGCATGGAGAGAATGTACTAAATAATCAGCAAAAGATTCGTTCAATCAATTGATATTTTTTGAGCATGTACCATGTTCTAGGCACTGTTCTAGGTGTTTGGAATACAGAAATGATCCAGTCAAAAATTCTGCCCTCCTTCCTAACAGGACAGTGGCTCAGCCTGGTGTGTCAGAAATGTAACATGATAAGGAGGGCATCCAGGAGTAGGGGGAGGGAGCAGACCCCCCACCCAGGGGTCTCACAGCCTGAGTAGAGGGCATCTAATACATGGTGTGGCAGTGATGGGAGATTGATTGCTTACAGGCAAAGCCATCAAATACATAAATGTACTAAAGATATATTTTAAGGATACTAAGTATAAGGGATGCCAAGTTTCTCACTGTCAGAGAAGGGAGTTAAAACTCCTGGAAAAGGAGAAAACTACAATGAACCTGATGGTGTGGATTGCAATTGGAAGTATTACTGTAAACTCATGATTTTCAATATAAGTAGATGTAGAGATAAATATAGTGTAAATATGTGTATCTTCTAGCTCTGTTCTGGCCTGGGAACAGTGACACCCTAGTGCCTAGATCTCGCTTTTAAAAGACTATTATACATGTGCTTGCTTTGGCAGCACATATACTAAAATTGGAACGATACAGAGAAGATTAGCATGACCAAAAGAAAAAAAAAAGACTGTTATACACTTTGAGGAATCCGGGTCCCTCTGAGAAATGTGTATTCCATTTCTGGAGGCAAAGAAAAGACAAAGTGAGCCTTAGAATATCTTGTGCCAGAAAACAAGAAAGTGCTCAAAGAATGATGGGAACATGTCAAAATGACGCAAAAGCCAGCTTGAAGGAGCTCACTGGCCATATCAGGGACAATATGAACATCAAAACAAATGATAGTAATGAATTATAATTCATTATTATTTAAAACATAAAACAGAAGCCATGGTTGGTCCAAGTGCAGTGGTGTTTACAACTAATTGATCACAACCAGTTACAAATTCCTTTGTTCTTTCTCCACTCCCACTGTTTCACTTAACCAGGCTTAAAAAAATAAAAAAATTAAAAATTAAAAAAAAAACAGATGCCATGAGTCCATACTGACATACTAAGTACATAAATTGAAAATTAGATGAGCAATACTCTCAAAGTACCTCCCCCCAAACACTTGATGGTGGAGACAGCTTGCAGACATCACCTTAATCAAGTGATCCAAGTAAACATCATCAGTAATGGGAGAAATCAAAACTGCATGCCACCTAAAAGGGTGCACTGAGAAGAGCATCACTTCTGTGGTGTTCCTGCCAAAGATACATAATCAAATCAAGAGAACACCAGAAAAACCTTAGGGATATTCTAAAACATAACTGGTCTGTGGTGTTCAAAAGTGTCAAGGTCATAAAAGTCAAGAAAAAAACAACTGAGGAAATGATCCAGATTGAGGAGACTAAAAAAATATGAAAAGCAAATGCGACACGTGATTCTGAATTAGATCTACTTGTTGCAAAAGGCTTATTGGGACAATTGATGAAATGGAGCAGCAGCTGATGATCAGGTGGTAGTAATGTATCAGTGTTATTAATAATTTCCTAATTTGGATAATTGTTTTGAGGTTAGGTAGGAAAACATTTTTGTAGGAATTACACACTGAAAAAAAAAGTGTCACCGGGTACCATGTTGGCATCTTACTCTTGAACAGTTCAGAAAAAATAAAAGGCCTTTGTACCGTACTTGAAATTTTTTGTAGATTGAAATTATTTCAACATTTTTAAAAAGTGGAAAAAAACTCTGTCTCTTTGGAAGTTATATTTTGGTGAGAAGAAACAAATAAGTAAAATAATGTAGTATATCAAATGGTTATAGGCTTGAGCCCTGAGACATTCCCACATTTAGAAATTAAAGGCTGGGCAAGGTGGCTCAAGCCTGTAATCCTAGCACTCTGGGAGGCCCAGGAGGGAGGATCGCTTGAGCTCAGGAGTTGGACACCAGCCTGAGCAAGAGCGAGACCCCATCTCTACTGAAAATAGAAAAAATTAGCCAGGCGTGGTGGCATGTGCTTATAGTCCTAGCTACTCAGGAGGCTGAGGCAGTAGGATCACTTTAGCCCAGGAGTTTGAGATTGCAGCGAGGTATGACGACGCCACTGCACTGCAATCTAGCTCGGGAGACAGAGTGAGACCCCATCTCTACTAAAAATAGAAAAAATTAGCCAGGCGTGGTGACATGCACCTATAATCCCAGCTACTTGGGAAGCTGAGGCAGGAGAATCACTTCAGCCCAGGAGTTTGAGGTTGCTGTGAGCTAGGCTGATGCCACGGCACTGAAGCCCAGGAGGCAGAGTGAGACTGTCTTAAAAAAAAAAAAGAAAAGAAATATCAGAGAAAGCAAGAAGGTCTGAGAAGGAGCAGTCAGTGCGGTAGGATGTAAATGAGGAGTAGCCCAGGGAGGAAAGGTTGTTAGAAGTAGGAAGTGGTTCACTTTGTCAAATGCTGCTGAGATGAACAGAGGTGATTACTGGAATTGGCACTAAGGAATCATGGGAGAAATCCTGGGGGAGTGATTTTAGTTGGATGAGGATAGAAGCCAGATTAGAGAGAGTCGAAAAGAGAATGGGAGGTGAGGACATCTTTTCCTAGAAGTCTTGCTGTAAAGGGAGCAGAGAATGAAGTTGTAGTTGGAGAGTTATGTAGGATCAGTGGAGTATTCTTTGTAAGATGGGAGGTTACTAGGGCAGAGTGTAGGATGATGGAGGCGACCCAGCAAAGAGGTAGAAACTCAGGATGCGGGAAACACTCAGCCTAAGTTTGAGTAGTGAGTGGGATGGGATAGAGACTGCCAGTGTTGACACTGCTGTTGACAGGAGCAGAGGCCCTTCATCCTGGTAATACAAAGGAAGGAAGGATGGATGGGTCCAGGGGAAGGTGTGAGTGCTGTTTTGGTGACATGGAGGGGAAAACTGTGTGTGAAGTTGCTTCTGTTCTCTCAGTGTAATATGAGACCAGGTTATCTGCTGAGAGCAGCGGAGGGTGGAGGATAAGGGGGCAGAGGAGAGGGTTGGATGTGGATGTTCAGGCTTTGAAAAGAGAAGAGGAAAAGTAAAATATAGTAATAGTCATTTTGGAGATCAGGGACATCAACACAGAGGATTGCAGAGAAGTGACTAAGATGGCCAGGCACACTTGAGGGCCCATTTGGTATTTGTGGTTATGAATTTAAAGTGAGACCTGTCAGCATGCTTGTGGATTTTTCTCCAACAATATTCAGCTGGAGGAGGATACAGGGGATATTAAGAGAGCCAAATCTTTTTTTTGAATACATATATTTTTGCTACAGAGACACCAGATGGGTCTAAACAAAAAAAGACAAAGAATGCATTGCAAAGCCTTTAATGATAATGTTTGTATTTTTTACAACATGCATAATTTCATACCTGTGATTAATCATTAATAGCAATTATTTCAATACTTGTAAGCTCAACTGCCTCAGATTTAGTCATAATGCATGAATCCTCAAGTTAATAAAATTAAGGAATAGCAATTTAGTAAGAAACACACCTAATGAAAACAAAATTCTTAATATAGGTTGTCTCCATTTTTAGCCATTTGGCATTCTGCTTCTTTAAAAATTTTATATTGCCCAACAAAGAGTGGTTATTTTTACTGTTTTTGGAGATGACTGAACAGGTGAAGCCATCAAATGCCCACACAGCTGGGATTTTGCCTAAGAGCAATATAAGATAGTCTTTTGTTATATTTTCATCTGATATTGGGGAGTACTTGTATCATTCAAGATTCAGTCTGGGTTATTTCTTTGACAAGAAATGAATGTACTAGAGATGTATTTGATAACCAAGGCTTTAGACAAAATTTTCATCAGCATTAGTTCTATTTGTAAACTGAAAAATATTGGAGGCTTAATATCGAATAATTACTACATTAGTGAACATTAAGCCTTTTAGAAGGAAGACCATATTTTGCTCCTGCTTCTGTAAATCATGTTATTTGTTTGAAGGGGAAACTGACAGTGTGCCTTTCACTTAACTACTACTCTTTTAATAAGAAAAAGAGACAAAATGAGCTGAAGAGGGAAAATTCCGCGGTTACACTCCACAACCCCGAGTATACTGAGTGAGATCTCGGTTTTGACAATGATTTCTCCATGCCACCCTGTAGAGAAAGGTAAAACAAACAGTGAAAAGATTAAAACAAATCTTCATTGTAATATACATACTTCGAACTCTTTGGGGAAACAAAATATTATGTCAAGAGAGAAAATACAGGCTACAGATAGACCCACATATTGCTATTTATTAAATGAAGATATGTATAGAAAGTACTACACTCCTCCTCAACACACTTAGCAGAGCATAGAATGCTGAACATAAAGGTTGAGTAATGTGCACCGCACAACACTACATGCAAAGTACATTCCACATTTACTTATGCTAAAAATAACTTCGGACACAAGAAGGAATTGATAAAATGTGAAGAATCTTAAAAACTCTAGAAATCCCTTAAAATAAACTGAGAAATAGTAAAAGAGTAAGATTCTGAGTCAGTTAATGTAATTGTTTCTTCAAGGATTTAGGCAATACATTGTTAGCATAAGTCAAAGGCTGCGATTTTCAGTTCTCAGTAGCATACTTTGGTCTTTGAAAGTCTCACTGCTTATATCAACAGTATTTTCCCATTTAACACTTAAAACATACCATGCTTTAATGCCTTGTGGGTCCCTGACAACTCTCTTTGCACAAGTTATGGCTTGAGTGATGTCATCTTGCAGCAAAGCTGAAAGAGAGATGGTAAGGAATGAAACCAACTTTCATAGAAATTTCATTTTAAGTTTAGGTTTAGCCAGCTGTATTCTGTTAAGCTGAGGAAAGAATATTAAGAAATTCTTTTTGGCTGGGTGTGGTGGCTCACGCCTGTAATCCTAGCACTCTGGGAGGCCGAGGCGGGCGGGCCATTTGAGCTCAG